GACAATGAACAATACACATACAAATACAGAGACAACAAACTATACACACGACAAATACAGAGACAACAAACTTAACACACGACAAATACAGAGACAACAAACTGTACACACAAGAAATACAGAGACAACAAACTATACACATAACACAAACAGAGACAACAAACTATACACATGACAAATACAGAGACAACAAACTATACACACGACAAATACAGAGACAACAATCTATACACATGACAAATACAGAGACAACAAACTATACACATAACAAATGCAGGTACAACAAACTATACACAGGACAAATACAGAGACAACAAACTATACACATAACAAATACAGAGACAACAAACTGTACACATCACACAGATGGAAACAATAAACTTTACAGAAAACTAAATAAGAGACAATAAACTATACAAATGACACATACAGAGACAACAAACTATACACGACAATTACAAAGACAATGAACAATACACAAACAAATACAGAGTCAACAAACTATTCACACAAACAAATATACAGACAACAAACTATACACACGACAAATACAGAGACAACAAACTATACACATCACACATACAGAGACAACAAACTATACACATGACGCATACAGAGACAACAAAATTAATACACAGCAAATACAAAGACAACAAACTGTACACACGACAAATACAGAGACAGCAAACTATACACATCACACAAACAGAGACAACAAACTATACAAAGGACAAATACAGAGACAACAAACTATACACATGACACATATGGAAATAATAAACTATACACAAAACTAATTAAGAGACAATAAACTAAACACATGACACAAACAGAGACAACAAACTATACATAAGACAAATACGGAGACAACAAACTATACATAAGACAAATACAGAGACAACAAACTATACACGACAATTACATAGACAATGAACAATACACACACAAATACAGAGACAACAAACTATACACACGACAAATACAGATACAACAAACTTAACACACGACAAATACAGAGACAACAAACTGTACACACAAACAAATATACAGACAACAAACTATACACACGACAAATACAGAGACAACAAACTATACACATCACACATACAAAGACAACAAACTGTACATACGACAAATACAGAGACAACAAACTATACACATGACAAATACAGAGACAACAAACTATACACATGACACATATAGAGACACCAAACTGTACACACAAACAAATATACAGACAACAAACTATACACACGACAAATACAGAGACAACAAACTATACACATCACACATACAAAGACAACAAACTGTACACACGACAAATACAGAGACAACAAACTATACACATGACAAATACAGAGACAACAAACTATACACATGACACATATAGAGACACCAAACTGTACACACAAACAAATATACAGACAACAAACTATACACACGACAAATACAGAGACAACAAACTATACACATCACACATACAAAGACAACAAACTGTACACACGACAAATACAGAGACAACAAACTATACACATGACAAATACAGAGACAACAAACTATACACATGACAAATACAGAGACAACAAACTATACACATGACAAATACAGAGACAACAAACTATACACATGACAAATACAGAGACAACAAACTATACACATGACAAATACAGAGACAACAAACTATACACATGACAAATACAGAGACAACAAACTATACACATGACAAATACAGAGACAACAAACTATACACATGACAAATACAGAGACAACAAACTATACACATGACAAATACAGAGACAACAAATTATACACATGACACATACAGAGACAACAAATTATACACATGACACATACAGAGTCTACAAACTATACACATGACACATACAGAGACAACAAACTATATACATGATACATACAGAGACAACAAACTATACACATGACACATACAGAGTCTACAAACTATACACATGACACATACAGAGACAACAAACTATATACATGATACATACAGAGACAACAAACTATACACATGACACATACAGAGTCTACAAACTATACACATGACACATACAGAGACAACAAACTATATACATGATACATACAGAGACAACAAACTATACACATGACACATACAGAGTCTACAAACTATACACATGACACATACAGAGTCTACAAACTATACACATGACACATACAGAGACAACAAACTATATACATGATACATACAGAGACAACAAACTATACACATGACACATACAGAGTCTACAAACTATACACATGACACATACAGAGTCTACAAACTATACACATGACACATACAGAGACAACAAACTATATACATGATACATACAGAGACAACAAACTATACACATGACACATACAGAGTCTACAAACTATACACATGACACATACAGAGTCTACAAACTATACACATGACACATACAGAGACAACAAACTATATACATGATACATACAGAGACAACAAACTATACACATGACACATACAGAGTCTACAAACTATACACATGACACATACAGAGTCTACAAACTATACACATGACACATACAGAGACAACAAACTATATACATGATACATACAGAGACAACAAACTATACACATGACACATACAGAGTCTACAAACTATACACATGACACATACAGAGTCTACAAACTATACACATGACACATACAGAGACAACAAACTATATACATGATACAGACAGAGACAACAAACTATACACAGGACACATACAGAGTCTACAAACTATACACATGACAAATACAGAGACAACAATATATACACATGACACATACAGAGACAACAAATTATACACATGACACATACAGAGTCTACAAACTATACACACGACAAATACAGAGACAACAAACTGTACACATCACACAAACAAAGACAACAATCTATACACAGGACAAATACACAGACAACAAACTATACACATGACACAAATAGAGACAATTAAGTGTACACATGACACAAACAGAGAAAATAAACTATACAGACGTCAGATACAGTGACAACAAAATATACCGATGCACACACGGTAGATATAGACAATATACACACACGGTAAATTTAGACAACATACACACACGGTAAATATAGACAATATACACACACGGTAAATATAGACAGTATATACACACGGTAAATATAGACAATATATACACACGACAAATATGGACAATATACACACACGGTAAATATAGACAATATGTATATAACGCCACAAATACAGGGACAGCAAATAATCATTTCGCACAAGATAAAACATATGACAAATACAAACGGCATGGATATTTGAAACCATATGACAGGGAAAACCCAACAGAAATGTATGAATAAGAAGCAAACAAGGACTACACAGAGCCAACAAAAAGACAAGAAACACACCGGACAAACATGAAAAATACAATGGAAAACAAGCAGAAAAAAAACCAAGAAATATACACGGAAAAAAACAACAAGTAGTGCATTTCAATAAACGGAACGTTCCTGATATGATAACCTGGTCTGCTTAAAGGAACAGCGCGTTTCAAATTAATCTTGTGCGTTGGGGTCAAATAATCTAATAAGAAAATTTAAAAAACCTAATACGACTTTTCCTTAATAAACCTTAACAGTTTTAGGCGTTAAAAATTCAAACCAAATAAACCTTAATTATCAAGCTTTTACATACTGTGACATTACTTGAGTCTGTAATAATATTTTGGACAGATTGTATACAGTTTAAGTTGTTACACGTAAACCAATATACAATTTGGTAAATATTTCAAACGTGAACTGTTCACTCGCCGCCATGTTGTTTCCACCAACAATAAACAACAAGAAAATATAAAGCACACACGAAAAGTAAAAAGGCAAAGCATACACGACAAATTGAAAGACAAAAAAAGACGCACACAAAATAAGAAAAAAGATTTTTGTTCTCGTTTTGTTTGATGTTTAATTGTTAAGAGTAAGTATGGAAAAGTAAAAGACCTTTTTAACGGAAATTTGTTAGAATAAATTTAAAAAAACAACATCTTAATGCTTCCATTCTCTACTGAAACAGAAGACGCTTACCCTCCCGGAAAGTTTGGCCTTACTCTGCTTGTACTTTTTCAAATGTTCCCATATAAATATTTCCTTAATTCATATGCTATCCTAGTTTTACCAATTCTGTGTTCGAACTACCATTTTGTGACACTTTTTACATTCAAATTTATCACTTCAAAATAAACTATTGAACATAAGTGCATACAAATGACACCATAATCATGTGAGAGTGTAAGAGAACACACTTTGAATGACGTGTACCTTTTCCCATCGAACCCGGCTGATATTGTCAACCATATTATGTTTCTTAACTCAACAACAATATTGTCAACCATATAATGTTACTTAAGTCAATAATATTATCAATCTTATGATGCATCTAAAATCCACAGCAATATTGTCAACCATATAGGGTTACTTAGCTCAACAATATTATCAATCTTATGATGCATCTAAAATCCACAACAATATTGTCAACCATATAATGCCACTGAACTCAACAACGATAATGTCAACCATATAATGCCACTGAACTCGACAACGATATTGTCAACCATATAATGCCACGTACATCTACAACGATATTGTCAACCATATAATGCCACATAACTCAACATTGTCAACCATATAATGCAACTGAACTCAACAACGATATTGTCAACCATATAATGTCATGTAACTCAACAACGATATTATCAACCATATTATTAGATATGGTCTTACTATCTGTGTCGTAAACTTCAAGAAATATTAATATGCATAAAAGATAGTACAGAATGTAACGAAAACAGAGTTTAGTTTTTACATTTTATCTACGTGTATAGAAAGTAGTGAGAAAACAATGAATATTGATATCAAATTATGTATAAATAGCGTGAGAAAAAATATTAATTTTAAATGATTTATTTTAGAAACTTAAGACAAATACATTTTAAAACTCACCAAAGCTGTTGTTTTAGATTTCTGTTTAACCAATCTTGAAGAATTTCGGACCTTGCGCACTGGTAATATGTTATACCGTTATGTACACGGCTTAGGAAACTTGTGATAGTATCAGAAATATAGTGCACCTTACGTGTGCATGTTTTAACATACTTAATGACGTCACAAAGATAAATATCCTATAAAAGGTAGTCGATGTTATCATTAACGCATACGGGTTCATCAAATATTGGGTAAATGAAGTTACCATTTGACTTTTTGATGACTCGCACAGCTTGAACTAAAAATCATAATCAAACATCATTGTTGCACGAATATAATCTAGTCGGCTTTTATGTTTTCGAGTATAACGATAATTTTTGAAAGAAGGTAAACATGAGGAGTCGCATTGTCCTGATACACTGCATGTACACCAGCATAGACTGACATGAGAACAATACATTTGGCATAACTCTAATAATTGATGTGAACAATTAAATGAGTACCTCGAGAAATATACAAAAAACGAAAACAGAGACAACAAACTATACACATGACAAATAAAGAGACAACAAACTATACACAGGACAGAAACAGAGCCAACAAACTATACACAGGACAAATAAAGAGCCAACAAACTATACACAGGACAAATACAGAGACAACAAACTGTACACATCACAAAAACAAAGACAACAATCTATACACAGGACAAATAAAGAGCCAACAAACTATCCACAGGACAAATACAGAGCCAACAAACTATACACAGGACAAAAACAGAGACAACAAACTATACACATGACAAATAGAGAGCCAACATACTATACACAGGACAAATACAGAGACAACAAACTATACACAGGACAAAAACAGAGACAACAAACTATACACATGACAAATAGAGAGCCAACATACTATACACAGGACAAATACAGAGACAACAAATTATACACAAAACAAATGCAGAGAAAACAAACTATACACAGGACAAAAACAGAGACACCAAACTATACACAGGACAAATACAGAGACAACAAATTATACACAAAACAAATGCAGAGAAAACAAACTATACACAGGACAAAAACAGGGACAACAAACTATACACATGACAAATAGAGAGCCAACATACTATACACAGGACAAATACAGAGACAACAATATATACACATGACACATACAGAGACAACAAATTATACACATGACACATACAGAGTCTACAAATTATACACATGACACATACCGAGACAAAAAACTATAAACATGACACATACAGAGACAACAAACTATACACATGACAAATACAGAGCCAACAAACTATACACAGGACAAATACAGAGATAACAAACTATACACAAAACAAATGCAGAGAAAACAAACTATACACAGGACAAAAACACAGACACCAAACTATACCCAGGACAAATACAGAGACAACAAACTATACACACGACAAATACAGAGACAACAAACTATATACATGATACATACAGAGACAACAAACTATACACATGACACATATAGAGACCCCAAACTGTACACACAAACAAATATACAGACAACAAACTATACACACGACAAATACAGAGACAACAAACTATACACATCACACATACAAAGACAACAAACTGTACATACGACAAATACAGAGACAACAAACTATACACATCACACATACAAAGACAACAAACTGTACATACGACAAATACAGAGACAACAAACTATACACATGACACATACAGAGTCTACAAACTATACACATGACACATACAGAGACAACAAACTATATACATGATACATACAGAGACAACAAACTATACACAGGACACATACAGAGTCTACAAACTATACACAGGACAAATACAGAGACAACAAACTATAAACATGACAAATACATAGACAACAAACTCTACACATGACAAATACAAAGACAACAAACTATACACATGACAAATACAGAGCCAACAAACTATACACAGGACAAATACAGAGATAACAAACTATACACAAAACAAATGCAGAGAAAACAAACTATACACAGGACAAAAACACAGACACCAAACTATACCCAGGACAAATACAGAGACAACAAACTATACAGAGGACAAAAACAGAGACAACAAACTATACACATCACACATACAAAGACAACAATCTGTACACACGACAAATACAGAGACAACAAACTATACACATCACACATACAAAGACAACAAACTGTACATACGACAAATACAGAGACAACAAACTATACACATGACAAATACAGAGACAACAAACTATACACACGACAAAAACAGAGACAACAAACTATACACATCACACATACAAAGACAACAAACTGTACATACGACAAATACAGAGACAACAAACTATACACATCACACATACAAAGACAACAAACTGTACATACGACAAATACAGAGACAACAAACTATACACATGACAAATAGAGAGCCAACATACTATACACAGGACAAATACAGAGACAACAATATATACACATGACACATACAGAGACAACAAATTATACACATGACACATACAGAGTCTACAAACTATACACACGACAAATACAGAGACAACAAACTATACACATGACACATATAGAGACACCAAACTGTACACACAAACAAATATACAGACAACAAACTATACACACGACAAAAACAGAGACAACAAACTATACACATGACAAATACAGAGACAACAAACTATACACACGACAAAAACAGAGACAACAAACTATACACATCACACATACAAAGACAACAATCTGTACACACGACAAATACAGAGACAACAAACTATATACATGATACATACAGAGACAACAAACTATACACATGACAAATAGAGAGCCAACATACTATACACAGGACAAATACAGAGACAACAAACTATACAGAGGACAAAAACAGAGACAACAAACTATACACAGGACAGAAACAGACCCAACAAACTATACACAGCACAAATACAGAGACAACAGACTATACACGGGACAAATACAGAGACAACAAACTATACACATCACACATACAAAGACAACAAACTGTACATACGACAAATACAGAGACAACAAACTATACACATGACACATACAGAGTCTACAAACTATACACACGACAAATACAGAGACAACAAACTATACACATCACACATACAAAGACAACAATCTGTACACACGACAAATACAGAGACAACAAACTATACACATCACACATACAAAGACAACAAACTGTACATACGACAAATACAGAGACAACAAACTATACACATGACAAATACAGAGCCAACAAACTATACACAGGACAAATACAGAGACAACAAACTATACACAAAACAAATACAGAGACAACAAACTATACACAAAACAAATACAGACACAACAAACTATACACAAAACAAAAAACACAGACAACAAACTATACACAGGACAAATACATAGACAACAAACTATACACAGGACAAATAAAGAGACAACAAACTGTACACAGGACAAATACAGAGACAACAAACTATACACAGGACAAAAACAGACACAACAAACTATACACATGACAAATACAGAGCCAACAAACTATACACAGGACAAATACAGAGACAACATACTATACACAAAACAAATACAGAGACAACAAACTATACACAAAACAAAAGCAGAGACAACAAACTATACACAGGACAAATAGAGAGACAACAAAGTATACAGAGGACAAAAACAAAGACAACAAACTATACACAGGACAGAAACAGACCCAACAAACTATACACAGCACAAATACAGAGACAACAGACTATACACGGGACAAATACAGAGACAACAAACTATCCACAAAACAAATGCAGAGAAAACAAACTATACACAGGTCAAAAACAGAGACAACAAACTATACACAGGACAGAAACAGAGCCAACAAACTATACACAGGACAAATAAAGAGCCAACAAACTATACACAGGACAAATACAGAGACAACAAACTAGACACAGGACAAATACAGAGACAACAAACTATACACGAAACAAAAACAGGGAAATCAAACTATACACAAAACAAAAACAGAGACAACAAACTATACACAGGAAAAATAGAGAGACAACAAAGTATACAGAGGACAAAAACAGAGACAACAAACTATACACATGACAAATAAAGAGACAACAAACTATACACAGGACAAATACATAGAGAACAAACTATACACAGGACAAATAAATAGACAACAAACTATACGCAAAACAAATACAGAGAGAACAAACTATACACAAAACAAAAATAGAGACAACAAACTATACACAGGGACAACAAGCTATACACAAAACAAATACAGAGACAACAAATTATACACAAAACAAAAACAGAGACAACAAACTATACACAGGAAAAATAGAGAGACAACAAAGTATACAGAGGACAAAAACAAAGACAACAAACTATACACAGGACAGAAACAGAGCCAACAAACTATACACAGGACAAATCCAGAGACAACAAACTATACACAGGACAAAAACAGCCACAACAAACTATACACATGACAAATACAGAGACAACAAACTATACACATGACAAATAAAGAGACAACAAACTATACACAGGACAAAAACAGCCACAACAAACTATACACATGACAAATACAGAGTCTACAAACTATACACAGGACACATACAGAGTCTACAAACTATACACATGACACATACAGAGACAACAAACTATACACATGATACAGACAGAGACAACAAACTATACACGGGACACATACAGAGTCTACAAACTATACACAGGACAAATACAGAGACAACCTATACACAGGACAAATACAGAGCCAACAAACTATACACAGGTCAAATACAGAGACAACAAACTATACACAGGACAAAAGCAGACACAACAAACTATACACATGACAAATACAGAGACAACAAACTATACACATGACACATACAGATTCTACAAACTATACACATGACACATACAGAGTCTACAAACTATACACATGACAAATACAGAGACAACAAACTATACACATGACAAATACAGAGCCAACAAACTATACACAGGACCAATACAGAGACAACAAACTATACACAGGACACATACAGAGTCTACAAACTATACACAGGACAAATACAGAGACA